AAATCCTGCCCCCGGGAAGGGGGGGGGAATTGGAAAAAATAATCCAAGGGGGGGTTGGAAAAAATAATTGGAGCGTTTTTCGTGGTATCGAGTGACCGGGGGGGGGAAGGGATGAGGAAAGAGCGAAAACACCCTCCCGAGGGTGTGGAAATCGCTCAAAAAAAGGTGTTTTTTTGACCTATTGGAGCTGGATTTTCATTTTTTCTTTTTTTAGTCTTATTTTTAGCCGAGTCCCCTCTGTCGCCTCCACGTTTGTTACATGATTTATATTATAAAAAGGGGGAAAAAAACCAAAACCCACCCCCAAAACAAACCAAAGACCGAAAAAACGGCACCCGGGGGGGAAAGTTTATTATTTTTTTTTTTACTAAAGGATCTTGAGGATAAAAACAGGCAAAAAAAATAGAGAAATATAGAAAAAATATATATATTAAAAAATATAAAAAAAAGCAAAACCCCTTTTCAGCACTTTAACGGCGAATTTAATTGAGAATGTAAGAAGAGCGACTTTGTAAAATGCAAATAAAAAAAAAAAGTTTATTAACCGTGATGGTGCCTTGTTGGGTTTTATGTTCTTTTGGGGTTATTTAAAGTGCCGATTTGGGGTTATTTATCCCCAAAGCCGCTTGGGGGGGGGGTTCCTGAAGGCCCCCAGTTTCCCCCCAGCCCCATTTTGATATTTTTATCTCCCCTAAAAAAGGCTATTTAAGGTTTTTTGGGTGTTTTTTTCAGCTGCATCACTCACAGGGTGGGGGAGGGCGACACCCACCCCCACTGCACGGGCGGGGGCTGCGAGAGGGGGGAAAAAAAGCCCCCAGATCATCATAAAATGGGGTTAAATGGGAAATAAAGGGGGTGGGGGGTGGATTTATGGGGAAAAAAGTGTTAAAAAACTACCCCCCCACAACAGGCCCGGGCCTAGGCCCGCAGGGGGAGCGCACTGCGCATGCGCGACATGGGGCGCCAGGGGGCGCTGTCCATGTGGAATGCCGCCGTGACCGCAATGCACGATGGGACTTGTAGTTCGCAGTGCTCGGCCTTTACATTGGTCGCGGTGCATGCTGGGAGTTGTAGTAGGGGAGCTGGGAGAGGCCATGTTGGGTGCGGGGCACGCTGGGAGCTGTAGTCCTTCCCCCGTGGCGCCGGCCATGTTGGGAGGTCTCCCCGTCGGCCATGATGGCCTCTCAGGAGAGAATTTCTTCTGGTCTAAATCTGCCCTTTTTAACCTTAAAAACCACAATGTCTCGTCCTCTGGCTCCGCTCCCCGATCACGAGTCTCTCCTGGAGCCCCCTTGGGGGGAGGGAGGAGGAAGAGGAAGGGGGTCCCCACTCAAGAAGAAGAGGAAGATGATGGAGATCCTGCTGAGGAGGAGGAGGAGGAGGAGGAAGGGGATCCCCGCTGAAGAGGAAGATGACGAAGAGGGTTCATGCTGAGGAGAAGAAGGAAGAGAAGAAAGAGGAAGAGGAGGAGGAGGAAGGGGATCCCCACTCAGGAGGAGGAAGGGGGTTCCCTGCTGAGGAGGAGGAGGATGAAGAAAGGGGTTCCCCACTCAGGAGGAGGAAGAGGAGGAGGAGGAAGGGGGTTCCCTGCTCAGAAAAAGGAGGAAGAGGAGGAAGATGAGGAGGAAGAGGGGGGTCCCCACTCAGGAGGAAGAGGAAGGAGGAGGAGGAGGAAGGGGGTCCCTGGTCAGGAGGAGGAAGAAGAGGAGGAAGAAAAGGGGGTTCCCCCTCAGGAGGAGGAAGAGGAGGAAGGGGGTTCCCTGCTGAGGAGGATGAAGAAGGGGGTTCCCCCCTCAGGAGGAGGAAGAGGAGGAGGAGGAAGGGGGTTGCCTGCTCAGAAAAAGGAGGAAGAGGAGGAAGATGAGGAGGAAGAGGGGGGTCCCCAGTGAGGAGGAAGAGGAGGAGGAGGAAGAGGGTCCCCCCCAGGAGGAAGAGGATGATGAGGGGGATCCCCATTCAGGAGGAAGAGGAGGAGGAAGGGGGTCCCTGGTCAGGAGGAGGAAGAGGAGGAAGAAAAGGGGGTTCCCCCTCAGGAGGAGGAAGAGGGGGGTCCCCCAGTGAGGAGGAAGAGGAGGAGGAAGAGGGCCCCCCCTGAGGAGAAGGAGGATGATGAGGAAGGTCCCCGCCGAGCGCCCCTTTTCCCGCCCGCGGCCTCACCCTGAGGGAAGCGGGACCCCAAAGTAGTCCCGGCTGAAACACCGCGGATTGATCTATCTTTCACCAGTCAAAGAGTCCCCCGAGGGTGGGGGAAGGTGCACCGTTCCCGGAGGCACTGCAATACCGGGACGATGCGCGGAGCGGAGGGAGCAAGCTCCGGGTCCAACTCCCGAGCCCAAAAATCCGTTTAATATAAAGTCCTCTCATCGAGGACGTATCAGATATTAAACTGATAAGAACAGATACTACACTTGATCTTAGCCAAAAGGCCGAGAAGAATACGCCCCGTTCACAATAACCCCACCCCCTCGCCTGGACGGGGCGCTTCTCGCTCCTTTTTCTTCCCTTTTTTTCCTCATTTTAGTCTTTTTTTCTCTCTTTTTTTCCCTTTACTCCTCCTTTTTTCCTCTTTTTCCCTTTCCTTTCGTTTTTTCTCATTTCATTCTCTTTCTTCCTCTCCTTTTCCTCCTCTTTTTTCCCTTTTCTCTCCTTTTTTTTTCTGATTTTATTCTCTTTTCCTCTTTTTTCCCTTTTCTCCTCCTTTTTTTCCTCTTTTTTCCTTTTCATTTGTTTTTTCTCATTTGATTCTCTTTCTTAATCTCCTTTTTCCTCTTTTTTCCCTTTTCTCCTCTTTTTCCCTTTCCTTTCTTCTCATTTTATTCTCTTTTTTCCTCTCCTTTTTATCCTATTTTTTGCCTTTTCTCTCCTTTTTTTTCTGATTTTATTCTC